CTGCCCCCCCCCCCAAATATCACAGTGGAAAGTGGGTAGGTCATAACCAACATATGGATACCAGCTGCCCTAATCGCTCTGCCAGGGATCTCTGAGCTCACCTGTGACCTGCCACTGCTCACCTCCTGTGTTTAGAACCTTCTCTCTCTGTTGTCACGACCCACATTGTCTGCACCAGCAAAAGTACACCGTGGAGCCAGATGGAGCTTCTATCACACAACAGTGATTGCCCAACTCCTCTAGAACACCAGCAGAACAGGCAAAACAAAGCAAAAACTCTGACCTTCCTCTCATGACCCCTACAAAATTAACTGAACTTGGATTTAGATCTAAATGTAGGAGTTTAAAGCTATAAAACTTCTAGAAGAAAACTGTTGCAGGCCTTGGGTTAGGCAAGAGTTTCTGAGATGGAGGGCAAAAAACAAACCATAAAAGGATCATTTGATAATTTTTGACCCACAGAATTAAAAACTCCTGCACTTCGAAAGACACTATGAAAAAAGGAGAATGGGTGGGAGAATGTACTTGAAAAACCCGTATCTGCTAATGTACTGATATCCATAATATATAAAGAGCTCTCAGAACTGAATAAGAAAGCAACCAATGTGATTTAAAAAAAAAAAAAATGGGCCAAAGATATTCTTCAGAAAATAATGTAGATGTATAGCAAGTAACCTCATGCAAAAGTGTCCCACAGTATTTGCCATGAGGAAAACCCAAACTAAAATCAGAATGAAATACCATGACACAAATGGAAATGGCTAAAACTAGAAAGACTGACAGTACCACGTAGTGATCAAGATTTGGAACAACTGGAACACTCAGATATTTGTGGTGTGGGTACAATTGAGACAGATCACTTTGAAAACAAGTTTGGTGGTTTCTTAAAAGTCAAACGCATCTCACAGGACCCAGCAATCTCACTTCTAATTATATACCCGAGAGAAATGAAAACTCATGTTCCCAGAAGAACCTGGGTAACAGTTTTATTCGTAGTTGCCGCAAACTGGGGCTTGTCCATATTTCCATCAACCAGTGAGTGGATTGTATCCATGGATCATATTCGGCATTAAAAAGGAATGGGTTATTGATTCCTGAGCCCACATAGGTGAATCTGTAATGCATTATGCTAAGCGAGAAGAGCCAGACAGAAAAGGCCCCACACTGCGTGATTCCATTCATATGACAGTCTTGAGAAGGCAAAACTAGGAGCTGGGGGGTAGGTGAGAGGCTGCTGGAGTGGGGTGGAAGAGCGATGACAAGGGGCCCAGAGGGAAGCTTTGGGGTGATGAAATAGGTCTGTATCTTCACTGACATCGTGGTTACCCAACTGTCTATTTTTTTCCAAAAACCCCATGTGATTTTTCCTGAAGGTAAAATAAATCCCAATAAACCAGTCTTAAGAAATGTCCTTTGGCGAGCCCCTGCTCGAGGTGTAAAGTCATTTTGGTTCAAGCTATCTTGTGCAAAGGAGGGTTTCTAAGAAAAATGGATTTCCATGGAAATCTAAAATAAGAGCTGCAAGTCACCTGGGCCCAGAGAGATGGGAGAGAGAGAGCATCTATCTGGGGTCGCTGCCAGCACCTCCTGGGACAAACTGAGCCCAGCCCAGATGTTCCCCACCTGTTCTGGTTGTCCCAGACCCATGCAAGTACTTCTGGCACTGATTGGCCCCATCCTTCCACCCACTGGCAAACCCATGAATGGGAATCCCTGGGCCAAGTGTCATCCCTCCTCCCCAAATCAGTTGCAGGAGCTCTCGCTCCCTCTCATCGCCTTTGGGATAAAGTGGAAATGCCTGAGCATGACAAAAAGTCCCTTCTTACCTTCCCAGTCTGGTCTCTTGTCACGTCTCCTGACGCTCCCCCACCCATGTCCTTCAGCCCCGTCCCCCATATCGTATAACCAAATTTAACTGCCTGGTAGATTCTTTCTTGGTTTTGATGAGGCACAAGTTTTGCCTTCCACTTAGTTCCCACTTGGCAGAACTTACCATCTTGGGTCCTCCGGGGCTTCACTGGGACATCACCAACATTGGGAAGCCTTCCCTGAATGCCACCAGGCTCCCCACCTTTGTATGCAGGGAGAAGGGGCAGCTTGTCTTCATTCTTCAGGTTTAGAGGACTCAAAGAAGTGCCTTGCTTGAAATACTGGTGTGCAAGCGGGTCATGAGGGAGTCAAACTCCATAGGGCGGGGGACTGGCCTAGGGGGTCGGCCGTGCAAACAGGTGCCTCGCTGGTTCTGTAGTGGGCATGGTGATTGCACTGTGATTACAGATCAATCCCTACCCTACAGTGAGGGAGTGGGCAGGGAGTCCATAATGCTATTGACCTCTGATTTCCAGCTCTATCAGGGGCATGCCCCCAAGCAGCCACCCGCCCTACCTCTGCACACAGCAGGGCCTTGCAGCCACGAGTGATGGTGAGGGCTCATGTGACAGGTGAGGGCCACTTCTGGCCAGAGCATTTCACTGTCAAGGTGCTGCTCACCTCTTTTCTTTTCCTTTGCCCAGGCTGCTGGCCGTGTTGGAGACGGTGCCCGGGTCCCAGGGCCTATCATTCCTTTCCTCCATTCTTTCGCTCTACAGATGCAATCATTTGCGAGGTGCAATTTTGCAGTGATGACTTATTTCAAGGAGGGCCCGGCACTCCCCCTGCTGGGATGACGCTAGTGAACAGCACGGGGTTAGCCTTGTCCCAGGCTTACAGTCAGCGGAGGAGACCGAGACGGATAGTAACCAATTCCTTTCTAATTACAGTAGGAGTCTACCGGATTCTCTGCCTTCAGCTGAAGGAGGATTCTAGCTCACAGTTGCATAACGGAATTCCTCACTGTCACGAAATCCTCTTTCTTGTCTCGATACCTCACTGTGGCAGTGCATCTCCCCTCCGTACAGCTCTTGAACACAAAGCCACACAGCCTGGCCCCTGGTGAGCCGGGTTCTCTAGGGTAATTTAACCGCTGCAGGGCTGTACTCTGCTGGGGTTTCTATGCTTCTGAAAGGGAGCATGTGGCCAGGGAGCATTTGGAATTTGCAGCAGGAGAAGGCACTAAGGTACAATCTGCCCACAGAATTGGCTCGGCACGGGGCACAGCTGTTAGCTTCTAGAGCCACAACAAGAGTGACAAGTTCATGAACTTGTAGCATGAAGTGATGCTGAATGGGCCCTGCCCAGAAGGGAGAGGCATGCGTGGATGTCTATGCAGAGCTGGGAAATGTAGGGAATGAGGGCCTGTCTCAGGAATTCTGGGGATCGATGTCAGCACAAAAACACTTGAGGACATTTATTTTGATCCCTCCTCAGTGAATAGTAATGTTCGAAAGCCCATCCATGTTGAGGCAGCTAAATGTGATACCTGACCCTAGACTAAAGTTTGTCTGGGAACGAAACACCATAAAAGACATTCTCAGATCTACCGGCGATACTGGGATACGGACCTAGATTACATACAAGGATTTTACAGTGTACATTTATGAATTTGGTACCTGTGCTATGGTTGTGTAAGATAATATTCCTAATTTAGTAAAGACATATTACAATACATAGGAGGAAGGGACTACAGTGTAGTAAGCTTTGCTTACAAATGACGCAGGAAAAAAAAAATGTGCCTATACATACAGGCACTTTTTGATCATCTGTAAAAGCCCCCTGCCTATCAGCCTATCACCTTGCTGATCGGGGCCTTTGGCAAAGCTGTAAGATTCAAAGCTGATATACTTTTGAGAAGATGCCCCAATTTAAGTTTTCTCTTTAATTTTCTCTCCATCCTTTGTCTACAACAGGAGTCCTTGTGTTTTGTTCTTTCAGGAATCTAAGTCTCCTTCATATCATTTTCTCTAGATGTTCATCTTAATGGTTTTCTGAGCTTGGAGCAAACCATAGATGCTTTCAGGAGGCTTATTTCAGTAACTGGAATGGATGACCTTTCATTGATACATTCTGTCCCAAGGTGGGAAAAGCAGGAGCCATAAAAAGTGCCATAAAAGGTTTTAATGCTTATTCTGCACTGACCAGCTACTTGACCTTCAGCAAGTTATTCAACCTGGGAAAGATTGGCATCCCCAAGGGGTCCAGAGTGGGGGCTCAATGAGACCATTAGCGAATGTTTGGCACAAAATGTGTGCTCAGTAAAGGTAAGTTATAGGGTAGCTGTTCTCACAACCTCGAGACCCAGAAAAAGACGTGCTTATTGTTACTGTCGTATTTGTACTTCAATTTTGATTGGGAAGAGATGCTAATAACCATATCGATGACAACGGTTTCCATTAATTCAGGGGTTCCTTCGTGGCAGTCACTTTATGTAACAGCCATGACCTCATTGAATCCCCAGGATATCACCCTCGGGCAGGCGCATTAGTCCATTTCAAAGATAAGGACACTGAGGCTTGGAGGCAGTAAGTAAACATGCAGGGCTTCCCCACTCCACCTGCATCTGGGTGCTCGCCCGCAGACGGGTAAACAGAGGCTCAGAGAGGCGAGGCCCCACACCTGGCTGGCTGTGGGCGGACACTGCAAACCCCGGTTCTCCTTTCCCGGACCGGACCGCCAGCCCACCACGGAGTCCGGCAGTCGCAGCTCGTCGTCGTCGGGTCGGTCCTTCTGCGGCGCCGGGGGTCGAGGATTTGGACCGCACGGTTCATACTTCGAGTTTCCGAGAATTCGTTCCCAAATCGCCTTTCGGGACAGGTCCGACGTGTCCTTCGCCGGCGCCCGGCTTGGGCGGCCGGGGTCCCGCGTCCTGGGGTACCGGGATGGGGCGGGGCAGGACGCGGAATTCCCCCCCCTCCGCCGTAGCGCAGCGGCGCCCCCCGCGCCCCGCCCTGCGCCCCGGCCGCGGCTCCGCCCGCGCTGGCGGCCGCCGAGCGGTCCGGGCTGTGGCGGCGGCGGCGGCGGCGGCGGCGGGAGGAGGAGCAGGAAAAGCGGCCGGGGGAGGAGGCGGAGGCGGCGGAGGCGGAGGCGGGCGGGGCCGGGCGGGTTTAAAGCCCGGCGAGGGGGTGGGGAGGCCGGGAGGAGGCAGGAAGGGACGCGAGCGGCGCGCCGGTGGCGGGCTCGGCTGGGAGGCCGCGGAGACCCGCGCGGAGCCCAAAGTTTGCGCTCAGCCCCTGGGCGGCGGCTCGCGGGGGCCGGGTCCGCCTTGCGCGCCGCCTCGCCCGCCCCGGCCGCGCCGAGGGTCGCCGGCGGCCACGCGGAGGCGGCCGGGAGCGGCGCCGCGGCAGGTACGGAGTTGGGCGGGGAGCGCGGCGGCAAGTTACTTTGTGGTCGGCGCGGCCGGGCCCGGCGGGCGGGCGGGCGGTCCCCGCGCCGTCATTGTCTGCGCGCGGGCCGGCCGGCCGGGGACGCCGGGCGCCGCGGGGGCGCGGCGGGCGGAAGGGCGTCGCCTCCGGGCCGGGGTCTGCGGGAGCGGCGGGCAGCGGGGAGCGGGCGGCGGGCAGCGGGGAGCCGGCGGGTGGCGGCTGTGCGCGCGGCGCTCCCGGCCCGGGAGCCGAGGGGCCGGGCGGCGCCTTCCCGAGCCCTCCGGGCCGACGCTGGCCGCCCGCGGGCTGGGCTGGGCAGGGGGTGCTGGGTGCGCCGGGCCCTGAGGGCCGAGGCCGCCCTCCCGGAGACGCCCGGGGGTGGGCTGCACGCGCCCCTGCAGCCCGGGGTGCGCCCGCGGCGGGGGCGGTGGGGCCGGGCTCCTCTCCCCCTGCCCGAGCGTCCGCGCCGCGGATTTTTTTTGTTGTCGTTGTTCTCTTCGTGGCCCCGTTACCCGCCGCCCGGGGCCTAACACCAAGTTGTGGGCTCGCGGATCAGCCGCCCGCCAACCGTGGAAATGTGATAAGAGACCGTTCGCAGAAGGCAATTTCTGATGCAACTCCTGCCTTCGCTGCTCGCCTCTCCAAACGCCTGCCTTGCCTCTGCCCTCGAGTACGTGCGTTATGGAAATGAGGAGTATTCTCGACTTTTGATTGTGTTCGTCTTTTCTTGGGATTGGAAGAAACGCAGACTTTGTGTCCTTTGCCCCGACCGAAAGGGTGGGTAGCGTAGGGGAGCCACAGGTGGCTTTGACCCGGTCCTGGATCTGGATCGTAGGGACGCATTGGAAAGGAGGCTTTCTTGCAAAGATCGTAGCCGCTTTCATTCAAGAGATGCAAAGAAAAAGCCCAAACAAGTAGCGCTCGTGAGTAAATATGCATTATTGCACAACTTTCTCAGTGCTGCTGTTTACAAGGCCAGGCCCAGAACACTTTGTTTCTGAAAATGCTGATTCAGCCATTTGCAGCCCCCGAGGTTCAGAAATGGTGCTCTGTTTAACGTTTCACTCAGTTTTACTAAGAACACATGTTAGCGCAGCAACAGGCGTCGACTGGGGGTTTATGGCACAAAGCTGGTGATTCTTCCTCAGAGTTGACCCAGCGCCCCCCTTTCTCTTTCCAAGAGGACACGTGGGAAGAAGCTGTGACTTATGGTGACCGTGAGGTGTCTCTTGGGGGGTGTTTTATTAAGGAGAAGCCCTGAAGCCAAATGTGTTTCCAGGAATGATTCTAAATGACTGAGGTTTTTGTTTTTGTCTTTTCTGTGAAAAATCTGAACTCTAGGATTCCTGCACATAATACTTGAGTTTTATTGGGAACACTTGAAAGAGAAGGGCCACACAGGCCAATCCCCAGATTACAGGGAGGGAACGTGAGGACAGACCGAGTTACACAGCCGAGAGCAGCTCCTGTAACTGAGAAGCCTGGCTCCTGATACTTCTGTAACATTTCACCTTGTAAAAGACTCGGTAGAAAGCTCCTTGCTTTCATCCTCCACAGCTCGCTGATCTGTGTTTTACAGGTATGGAAACTGAGGCTCAGCAGGTTAACTGACATGTCAGGGTAACCTGGCCAGCAGATGACGGCACTGTCACCAGGAGCTAGTTTTGGATTTTTCTTTCTTTTTTTTTTAAGCCCTGTGTGTTTCATGTTTCTGCATAAGCCCGTCTGCCTCTGAAAGCGAGAAGTGGCCCAGAGGAGGTTCCTCCTTCCAGCCACACAGCTGGAGAAGTAGGAAGCTCTGTTGCCACTCTGGGGGCTCCCCACCTTCCAGATTTGTCCTGTTGCGAGGTGTTCATCGATTTCTCCACTTACTTTTTGTACTTCAATACACACTTCATTTGGGAGGAAACTTTGATGTCATGAGCTCGATATGGCAAGTTGTTTTATGGTAATTAAAACAGTGTTTTAATAGAAGCTGTGCATCCCTAAAAAGTCATCAGTGGCCCTATTGCGTGTGGTGTGTACCACTTCTGGGGCTGTGTCGGCTGGGCAGAGTGCCTTTCCTTTGTGAGTCGGGAATCCAGAGCAGGGCAGGTTCCTGCCAACCACTTGTCTAGGCAATTATTCCATTATTGGTGGTGGCCATCAGGATCGGAACCCAGGGCACCCACAGTGACTGGCCAAGTGGAGAGAGCCGAAGTCAGGATCTAAGAGCTGGCACAAAACGTTAATTTTGATGGGGTGGCTGGTCTGAGACCTTACAAGGTACAGAAAGCAAACTCCTGCTTGACCAGAGGCCGCTTTTGTGCCTTCCGCTTCGTCTCAGAGCTGTAGAAATTCTGGGTTGGTGTATCTGATAAAACCTAATGCTTTGAAGGTGGCCTAATTTAAGGAACCTATTTTCTTGGAATTCTGTCCATCTCTGCAGGGGAGGAAAAACCCACACGGTGGTAGGACGTTTTTGAGCCAGAGTCAGAACTCAGAGCCGAGGGGTCTGTACGGTGCAGGGGGGAGGAAGCCGTTGCATTTGCCGCGTGTGCAAAATCCCCCTCTGTTTCTCAGACTGTTAAGCCAACGTGAAATTGCGTGGGCTTGTGGGGAGAAATACTTGCCTCGTCTTTGCATTTAAGTAACCATTCATGTTCAAGATTTAAATCAAACTTTTTCTGCTAGTGAAGATTTTTTTTTCTTCCTTTAACCTGTCTTTATTTTTTGCTCAACTGTCGAATTATGGGAAATTACGGAAGGAACTAAGACAGTTGAGCGACTTGGTGGGCGAAGCTTGGCAGACAGGGCACGTTGGGGATCTGGTAACCTGCGAGGTCTGCATGCTGATGGGTGCGGAACACGGTTCATCTGTTCAGGCACTGATTTATGTTCGTATTTTAGCCGTGTGCTCCCCCGCCTTCTCCGTCAGGTGGGGACACCGTTGCCTCCGCTGCCCTCCCTGGCTTCAGGAGCTTCTGAACTCCTCTCCTTGGGATGGGCTTTTGTCCCTGGTCCTGGGGGTCACAGGGCCTGTTTTCCGGAAGGAGATGAAAGCAGGGGGAGCATAAAACTGCCAGCACCTGGAAGGGCTGATGGCTCTTCTTTATTGATGGGAAGAGACATGGTGTGACTCTCCCTTGAGATGGCTACTCAGAGAGCCCTGTCCCATCGTGAATGGAAGGTCGTCGCAGAGGCAGAAACCTGAATGGTTCTGACTTTCTGCTTTTGGGGTATGCCGACTGAGGGGATCTCCCTTTTTGCTGTGGGAGCCCCGCTGGCCCTGTGTCCAGGTGGAAATAGATGCCTGCCGGGAACTCAGGTTGGTTCATCACCTCTGGACGCCACTGGGGAAACTAGAATATTATTTCTGACCATCAAATTCATAAATGGACTTGACAGAGACCTTCCTTGATTGTTGAGATCCTCGATTTCAGGATTGATCTGGGCCGGAGCTGCCAGAGGGGACGATGTGTTTGGGCACCTCCCTTGGGAACAGGTGCCGGGGACGAATCCCGCTCCCTTTCTGCTCTGTGCAGGGGTCGTGGCCCGTGCTGACCACTGCACGAGGCCTGCTGCCCCAGTGTGACCCCCGGGTCTACTCTTTCCTGGGGCGGCGAGCCTGAGCAGGTTAACTAAGCTCATCGGCAAAACGAGAGTCAAAGGCGTTTACCGGCAAGGGCTGTTGGAGTCCTGTGACCCTGTATGTGGCGGGTGGCACTTTGCCAGAGCTTGGACACGCCGTCAGGGCACACTCAGCCTTGACTTGGAGCAGCTTGTGAGCTTGATTATTCTACTTCCTGTTAATCTGCAAGGTCTGCTCGAAGCAGGACCTCGCTTCTCATGCCTTTGCCTGCTGGTGCTGGGCGCGTGTTCGCTGCCCCAGACCTTGGGGGACGGACCATAACCTGCTTGAGCACCAGTCCTTGTAAGGATGCTTTTCTGGCCCGCCTGTAGCACGGCAGCTGGAGCTCCTCGCGGCGGGCTTTCCGGGAGTGAGATGGGTGGTGGAATGCACGTGTTATCTGGGGGCAAAGCGTTTGAACCAGATGATAGTGAAGAGCAGGCATTGGCAGCCGGTTGCCCCCGACCAGGAGCGAGAGCGGTGGATGCCCGGGAGATGCACAGGCTCAGGCGGGCTGCAGCCTCGAATGAGGGAGACCCCTGGGCTCAGGCAGTGCGAGGCGAGGTGGCATCTAGTTTTAGGACCCCGAGGTTGGTTGGTGTCTGGCGTCTACAGAGTCTCTTGGCCCGGCTGGGATGGAAGTGAACGTGGACCCGGGTCCTGCCGGGCTGACCGTGATCCTGGGAAACGGCTGTGCACACACACCGTCGAGGGCTGTGCCGGCGAGCCGCCCTGCATCTCCCTGAGTCCTGGCTAGGTTTTCAAGCCGGGTCGACAGGCCCAGGCACCAGTCGCTGCCGTCTTGCCTAGTAACGTGGGCTCCTAAAGCACTTGGCGTGCAAAGAGCTTGACGCATGCTGGCCCTTGGCGTTGCATCGTTATTGTCCTTTGGAAACAGGGCTGGGAGCTGTCACCACAGATAAAACTGCGAGGTGACCGTGCTTCATCTGTCCCTGTCTGGAGCTAACAGGTGCACCATCCCGGGACCTCTGAAAATACAGAATGGTGAGGGATGCCTGGAGACCCCCTGTGGACATCCCTTTTCTCTTGTCCTGTCCCATGGGAGCCACCCGTGAGGACCTCCTGGGCTTCTGACCGCAAGTTGCCTGGATCTCCCTTGAGATGCTTCTCAGTGCAGAGACCATGCGGGCACTCCCTTCTCTGATGGGATAGCTGGGCCTTTGGTTTGCTTAGTTATTTTCTTACCTGTCATCCCTGGGAGTGTCTTCTCCTCACGTTTGTGAGTTGAGAACTCCCCCTGACCTACAAACTTCTCTCAGGTCCCGTTCTAGTAGTGGTCATTTTTGGACCCCCTGCATCAGAAAGCTCATAGTGACCGGAAAGCGACTATGAACCGAGGGACTTCTAAGTT